ATTTGATTGAACTGCTTAAATTTACAACTAAGATTTACAATGAATCACCCCTCCCCTCCATTACAATTCTCCTAATGCCGTGGATCTCAGAAAGGGAAGTTTATCTTTGTGTTGGTAACTAGACACACTGCAATCACCAGTGCTGCTAAACATCACTTTTTTCCCCAGGAAAATATCCTTTTCCCACACATTTTTGTGTGTTTTTCTCTTTTTCTAAAGTTCCTTGTGATCTGGTGATAAGGTTCTTGTAGGGTGGCTACAAATTTCCAGTTATTCCTTCTTTTTCCTTCTCTGGCAATAGGTGGATTCACTGACAAAAATGGTTTTCTCTCATTCCTGAGTGACATCCTTGTACATTTTCCTCAGGACTGTTCTTTCTCTAGCAATAAGACTAGCCATGACACAGATCTAAAACCTCACAATCTGCATCTGAGGCGTGCAAGGAAAACCATTCTGCAACTGATCACTCATGCTAACAAAAACTATGAATTGCAATAGAATGCTCTTGCTTTTATAATGTTTACACAAGGTAAATAAGCAGCACTGCGCCTACTGAGATAAGAAATGACTAACAAAAATTGAGAATTAAGAGTTCACAAGATGCTTATGCTTTTGCACTATGTGTGTTTGTCAGTTACATTCCTGTTCATTTTCAAACGCACATGTTTTGTGTTGTATGGGAGATTGAACCTATGGACTCACGTGTTAGGCAAGTATTCTGCCACTGAGCTACACTACTGCCCCAGCTTGGATGTAGGATTTAATGTGAATTAAGTAAGGTAATAATAATAAACCACATCCCTAAATAGCTAAGAGCTTAAGAATGGTCACCACAATATAGAGCACTGACTCGAAAAGCCTACTCCCAACCAGCATCATACACTATGACTCCACGCAGGTTCTCTAATGTGTCTGGGAACTTCACAGCGCCCCACCTCATCATCCAGCACTGTCAAGTTATAAATCACCGTTGCTCTGCCAGGGGGAAAGGTGATATTCCCACTGACTGGGCTCAGATCTTCTTCTGGGGGGTTTGGGCCACCCTCGACCTGCAAAAAATATGGGATGCCATCAATAATTATACAGTATTCCATGAGACAGGTAAAACATTTCTGCAGTGTCAGCTGACAACACTCTAAGTGTACTTAAAGATGTTCTATAAAAACTATACAAACCTGTATTTAAGACTGCCCTTCTAATCAACACTGAGTGTCCATCATGTAATTGTGGATGCTGACTATAATTATTTTTATTTTTCTCAACCATTATATTAACTCTAAGAAGGCAAGTCTATCAATATTCCTTCTAGAGAGCAAAGGTATTCAAGGGTAGTAAATTCCCTCCAAAAATGGGATCAAACACATTCTCAGTTCCACTACTGACCATGTGACCCTGAGAAAGTTATCTAACAACTCTGTGCAGCAGCTTGCTCATGTTTAAAATGAGCATCAGCATTTCAGTTTCGTAAATTGGATGCGAAGCTCTAATACAATCACTCAATGCAAGGAATACTGAGTACTCTGGGCCTGGCCTTTTCCACTGCTACTGAGAACAGCGGTGAGTGAAGCAGCTTCCTTCTCCGGGGACCTGGCAGGTAAGAGAGGAGAACAGAAGATGAGCAAAGGCCTGCGTGTGCTGGGCCTTGGCGAATGTCATGGAGGAAAGGCCTCAGAAGCCCGTGCGGGAGCCGAGTGCGAGGAAGACGGGGGGGGGGCATCAATCAGCACCTGCACCAGAGCAGCAGCAAGTAAGGGCAAGGGTTCCACAAATGACCTACAGTTATTTAAACAAAACAAAGGCTACAGAGGGGCCGGGGAGATAGATCAGTGGAATAAGCGCTTCCCTGGCAAGTGCAAGGGCCTGAGTTCAATCCCCGGTTCCACCAAAACAAAACAAAACAAAAAAAACAACAAAGGCTACAGACTTCACAGAGAAGCTGAAAATGCTGTAACTTTGTGAGCACATCCTTTTGACAGCCAAATTATTTTCTAATTTTCTGTACATTTATTCAAGGTATCTTCAAACTGAATGCACATTCCTAAGTGTATGAGAAAGTGCTTGAGGCTATAAAGAACTTGCAAGAAAGAGCTCTGCATATTTTGTTGGTTTTTACTGTGACGACACAGATGTGCACAAGTAGAACTCTTCGGTGTTGCAGCAGAGTTTTGTTGCCTATGTCCAAGTATTCACTCTTGCAATTAATAATTAAAATGGAAACTCATAAGGAACTTTCTAATACTCTAAGGTTTGAAAATTGCATGTTTGATCACATTTTAGAGCTCATAAAATATTAAAAACTCGGTTAAAAATTTAAATGTGAAGTCATAGAGCAGCGGTGTGTGACAAAATGTTCAGTAATGACATAACGTAGCAGGCGCCCAGGAAGCACCCCACAGACAGTCTTGGTTACCCACAACGCACCCATATTTCTGTGGCAGAGGCAGATGTGCTAACACACTCCCTGAGTGTCTTGGAGGAAATGGGGGAAGATTAGGCAGAAAATAATTTTATGCAAACTCAAATAATCCAGAAATATTTTTACAAAACTATCACTTATTTTATGATTATGACCCCATAGCTAAAATACCTTGCATCTCATATAAACCTACTACACCCAAGTAGCAAGGAAAATACGTCTATATTAACCATGAAATTTATCAGGTAACTGAAGTATTTTTATTAAGTGTGTATGTTCCTTGTACATTAAAAAATGTATTTGGTACATGGTCTCACTGTGCAGCTCAGACTCTGGGATCCTCCTGTTTCAGCACCCAGCACGGGCATTACAGGCGTGCACCACCACCCCTCGTCTAAAGACTTTAGCTTTAAAATGACAGCCAGCTGGTATGGACCCTGGCGTGTTACCCTTCAGGTGATCTCCAAGTAAACTTACCTCAAAGGTCACAGCGACCACCCCATAGGTCCCCTTTTCCCTGACGAGGATGAGAGGCACGGACTCATTTCTGCCCCTGGGCTCCCTCGCTGTGACCGAGGAGGGCTGTTGGGAAGAGCAGAGAACACTGAGGACCCCTCGACTGGAGGAGGAGGCGGCAAAATGCGTTACCGTAAATACGCCATTCCCACAAGGAAACCGACCTACACTGCACTGTAAGAAGGTGGTATTTCTAAGGTCAATTCATGGTGGCGAGTAAAAATACTAAAATTTAAAAGAAAATGTTTTAAAGGGAACATAAAAGCAAGCAAAGACATAGGTCCCTGTCCTGGCTCAGCCACCACACATCAGTCCTGGGGAAGACTCTTCAAGGTGAGACCCGGGTAAGCCTCCAGAGCGAGGCAGTGGGCCGCTGTACATGCTCAGTCTTGCTGCGCTGCCCCCACCCCCCGTCCCCAGCTGGCACAGCCCTGAAAGCCAAGTGACGATGACTAGCAGGACACAATCACTGCAGAAGACAGTGAGAGAACCTCAAATGCCGAAATGGACCAGGCAGCAGAGTTCATGGACGTGAATCAGTGGGGAATGTTCAGAGCACACACTGACTACAGAGCTTTGTAAAGCTACGACATCTGCCACCCGATTTCAAGTACTGCAGGGCCTCGGCCTTCTTTCACGGTATCTTCTCCTGTCACAGTCACCCCCAACATTCAAAGGGGTCTAACAAGTGCACCACGCTTGCACAGAGTGGTGTTTGGAGGAATTGAGCAAAAGGCACCGGGTACACATCAGGGCTGCGGCTCAAATAAGGAAACCAGGAGTCAGGAGGAATGGTCAGCAGAAAGAAATCATGAAAAGGGGTGACCATGTCACAGAAGCTTCTTAAATTTGCAAAATCTTCAGGTAATTAATTGGAAAGCCTACAGCATGTGAGCTGTGATAGGGTTAATGCAAGTTTCATTTAAATGGTAAAAGACAGGATGACATGAGCTAACCTGAAAAATCATTAAAAATGAGTGTACTACTACCTCACAATCATGAGACTCATCAAATTGTAACCATACCATATTAAATGAAATAACTCCAAACGCGTTGTCATTGGATAATATTGTTACAGTAACAGTCCTTGGCCAGCCAAGCTTCACATTTGCTGAAGGTTTCTACAACAAAAGTTCAAAAATAAAGTAATAAAATGACTAATGGAATAAGAGTAACCACTTTAATAAAATTTGTTTTTAATTATTTAGAATATGAATAAAAGTGCTCTTTCAATGCAGATTAAGAAAACATATTCAAATTACGCCAACATATTAAATCCCAAATGAGAATTTTTTTAAACTGTAAAACCATCACTTTTAATAACATATAATTACACACCTATAATATTCAAATAACAGAACTTAACAAAAAACTGTATACAGATGAATGTCCATTTTGTATCTGTGTATTCAAAGTGATTAGAATAGATATATAGTTACATTCTCTTAATGAATAGAGGGATTTGTTCTAATGGTGTTTATAAATAGGATATCATGTCTGCATCTTGGACAGCAATTAACCACTAGGAAGAATGTACGCAATGTGTTAGTTATTGAAACTGTCCTACCAATTTGATTTGAAACTGTCTCATTGCTATTTGTTTATCAATAAAATTATGGGAAAAACATAATTATGTAAGTAATAATTGGCTAGTAATATATTACAAATTGTTACTACAATGTGCTTACTAATTTACAGAATTAAATGTGCAACATGAAAGTCTATTACATGTGATTTTTCACAATACAGCATGTGCCATATTTAAAAATTATTCTAACAGAGCCAAATGAAACATAAAATGTTAAGCAATTTTTCATATGAAAGTATTTTCTATAATGCTTCTATCAATATCCCACTGAAACAGAAAAGAACATGAAAAAAAGCGAACAATGGTTTCAAGTGTCACATTCATAGAAATTTCAGCCCAATTCACAAGCAGTTATTCTTTAAAACACTCTCCACCCCCTTTAGACACATGAATCACACTGGTGCCACAGCCACTGCTTCACCCTAACAGGCCAAACCTCAGAGTTCAGTGACATCTCAGACTATGCAAGTGTTTTCCCAGGGGCCTTCTCTATTCATTCTAAGGCCAGGGACCGCCCACTGCCATGCTTGCTATTTAGTACCGGCTCCTTTGCACTCTGAAGTCACGGTCACTCTTTGTGCATCCGCAGTGGGGGAGGGGTCAGAGAGAAAAGGGCCAAAGGGAAGAGGAGGTCTCAGAGCAGCTGTCCTGGCAGTTCCCAGCAAGCTGCCACCCTGACACAACGCCAGCTACCAGAGCTTCTAAACAGACTGCGGGATGCCAGAGATGGTTGCTTGTGGCTTTTATGGAAACTATGACCAATCACCTGAGTGCTCATCTCCACAAAAACGCAGGGTTTAAGACCAAAGTGGAAGAAGGACCTACCTGTAATGTTAAGTGAAAAATAAAAGTCTCATCAGGCTCCGGCAGGTCATCGTCACACACGGCTATGTACACAGTCCTGTTGGTTTCTCCAGCAGGGATAAAAGCTGCAGCATACGTGTCCAAAAAGTCGCCAGTGTCTTCCCCGTGCAGCTGCCAAATGCAAAGCAGAGGCGGTCGTTCCTATTTAACACAGACTTAGGACAAAACTGACACAGGCTGGAGAAATGGAAACAAAGTGCAAAGACCAAGTAGCACAGAGACTTACAGTGGGATGTACAAGAACACAAATATTTCACACATGGAAGATGTCATCTTCAGGAAAAAAGGTTAAATCAATAAATGATTCCACAATTGTAAAAATAAAAGAAATAATTACATAGGAAACTAAAAACTGCATAGAAAAGTTGTGTGGTAGATTTTCTTTCCCTGACCATTTGTTGATCTGGAAGGGACTACAGTGACCCTAACAGGAAGACAATTGCAGCTAAAACTCCCAAAGAAGGGGTAGATGCTGCCCACTGGAAGCCCGCAGGGAAATCAACTCCTTCTCCCATTAGCTTCAAAGAAACTGTTCTCTCCAGAACTCTCCACATGAAGGTGTACTTATGTCGTCCTACAGCAATTGCAATTAAGACCCAGTTCTTTTGGCATCCTAAACTTAGGATTATATGTTTCTCTTAATAGTTTCAGATTCTATTCTGTAAAATTAGCATTGCTAATAAGATTCCCAGGGAAGTAACAAAAATAAAATTATGAAGTATCAATTTATTATGCAAATCCAAATGAGGTTTTTTTCATTTAAGAACTCAAAATGAGTAATTAAGCCAGTATAAATTTTGTGCTGTATTATATGATTTAGTACCCAAAATGAAGAAAATGTGTGGGGAAATTTTAGTGAACTGTTAGTTTTAATTTATGGAGATAAATTATTAAATACTTTAAAAATCAAAATTATCTGTCACAGAATTTTGAGACCCATTAAAACAAAGTTCAATGAGAAAAAAATAAAAATAAAAATAAATTGTCAAGGGTACCAGAAGACTTATTCTTACATTGCTGTAGAAAATGACATTACCAAGAGCCACTGAAATAAAGAGAAAATCATAAAAATGAAGGGATGCAAATCACTTGACAATACAAAATAGATGTGGATATTCTTCAGAATAACATTTAATAACTGCAACCGAGAACTCAATGAACAGATGGCTCAGTAGAATAAGTACTTCCCTGGCAAGCACAAGGGCCTGAGTTCAATCCCCAGTTCTGAAAAAAAATTCAATAAATACATACCTATATATCATCAACAAAAGCCAAAAGCAGTGTACAAAATTGTGACGCTGGATTGATTTCATAAGTAGCTTTTCTTTTTCTGTTTCCAAGACACCTTATTGCTGAAATTTTTATTTTTGTGAACAAAAACTTCAAGTCTTGAGCCACAAACACAGGAATATCTTCGGCGGTCATACAACATGACTTTCTAATCAAAAACAGGGACATATACCCCCACTACACACAATCCAGTCAAAGATTAACTGTGTGCAAGATAAATCAATAGCTTAGCAAATTCTACTTAACTTCGATCTAAGTTAACATACTCTACACAAGAACTCTCTAATCAAAATTAGGGTGTTCTTTTTTTTTTTTTTACATCCATGTTTTCCTTTATGTGTAGTCAGGGAACAGAGGTGGTATACACTGTTCTTATTTGCTCCATTTGCTTATTGTAAAGTAACACTGACATTTTCTAAGAAGTGATACTAGTATTGTAACTCAGAAAGTGGAAGAAATTTACATTTTCAAAATACATCTCAATAAAATAGAACAAAATCTATATCAAAGAAGAATCATCATTTCTTACCGACACAAGTGCGGTGACATTTGCGGGCTCTCCTATTCTTTCGATGATAAGACGGATAACTGTCGTACTTGTCTCGTTAACAACAAATTCTGTGTGCCCAGCAAATCTTATTTCTGTTTCTCCAAATGTTAAAGGGATGAGTAAAGCTGAAAGAAGATTTACTAACAAAGATGTAGAGGGCATCCCTACAGGAAAAAAGAAAAAAATCCCAAGTCATATTGACTACATTTTCTTTGTAGATTCTCGTGTTCACAGACATAAACACAGTGCATTACCAGACAGCAAACAGCGAAGACATAAATACATCAACTAGTAAACCATCCGATTCAGAAGCTAAGGTAAAACCTTTATCTCTTGTCTTCTTATGGCTCTGCTGTTACTATTTGGACTATACTTACTTTCTCTTCTTTAGCTGCTATGGCAGAACACTCATAAGCACAATTTTATTAGTTTATTAAAGACTTACCAACACTTCCATGTTAGTCTGAGAAAAACATGGAAAGGCAGAGAATGTTGACGTTCCTCAAAGAAATGGTCTAGCTTAGCCAAAACTAAGCCTGTGGATGCTAAAGCTTTAACAACAAACTGATTCTTTGACTGGTGCCTATTTCTTTCCTGATATTTGTCTTGAGATTTTAGGGAAATTTTAGTTATTGAAAGGACTGCAAGGATTTCTTCTTTGAAATAGATTTTGTTTTGTTTTATTGAGATATATTTTGAAAATGTAAATTTCTTCCACTTTCTGAGTTACAATACTAGTATCACTTCTTAGAAAATGTCAGTGTTACTTTACAATAAGCAAATGGAGCAAATAAGAACAGTGTATACCACCTTCTGTTCCCTGACTACAGCTTTCTGCCTACAACACGAGTGCTATGAGCCATGAACGCTGTTCCTACCTTTAGTGCTGTGTGATTCGAGCGCTTTCAAGCTTGCAGCACCACAGTGGCCCCCGGAAAGCCCTACTGTTCTGTGATGCAGATGCACCTCTAAACATCGGGACAATTTACCTCACGGATCATTACGATTCCAGTGGGTGCGTGTGAGCAGTCACAGGAACATAATGAGTTCACGCACGTTGAGAGGACAGTCACATGATGTACTCCAAGAGCTAAAATGCTTCCTATTAATCTTTACCTTAGCCAAGGGAGTGATAAAATTTTCATGCATCTGGCATTTCTGCATAACTACACATAGCTTTATACTTAGGAATCACCAAATGCATGAATTCTTGAAATCATTTAGGGTTTAAATGTAGTTTTCACTCTACTACTGAGTCTCATACACTTTCAACTGCATAATTTCTAGACAGAGAGACACAGAGTCTGAAAGTAGGCCAGGGAGAGGAGGCTCCGGAGGCCTAGGGTGTGTTCTGCACCTGTCTCTTCTCTCCAAGCAAGCCTGCCTGAGGCTAAGGGATGTGGGAGAAGATATAAAGCACCCTCCCTGCATCAGGCTCAAGCTGTAACCTGTCTTGTAATCCAGGAATCCTTACAGAAAACACAGGAAGAAAACAGAGGGAAAAAGCAAAAGGTGGGTGAAAAATGCTCTCCTAGGATTCCTGGAGGTGAGGGGGGTTCTGAGTCAAATCACAGCCCTGTGGAGAAGCTCTTCTGTGAAATTCTAAGGCAGAATAACCACTTAGGACTGGAAGTGGGCAAGAAATATCTAGGGGCTCTGAAAAATAATATAGAATGAAGAGACAACAAAGTAGTAACTTAAAACTTGTTACTGAGATTCTGAAAGAAAAAATCTCAAATCCTTGAACAGATGTGATAGACCTTGAAGGAATTAAGACGTCTGACATTCAGAGTGAGAAAAAGTGAATGTGAGATGACAACAGGAGGCGGAACCACAGACAGCTGTGCAGTGCCCAAAATCTGCCTGCAAACCAACCAATGTAGGCAGCTATTGAAATGTCAATCCCTCCTCTCAGAATTTCTGCCCACTGGTGTTAAGGTGGGGCCCAGAACTTTTGCAGGCATTGCAAGCATCACTGTCCCCTCTGACTCAGCGCACCTTTGGGGTGGACTGTCTGAGGAAAGACACGAGGAGGGAGCAAAGCCAGCCCCAGAGAAAAAAAACATGGGAGCTACCAGCAGAAGTGCTAAAGGGGTGGAAGCATGGAAGGCTCTGGAACTCACAGGGAGTTACAGATTGCTTTAGATGTTCCACATGGAGCTACAGAACTTAATGCTTGTCCTTCTGGATTTTGGACTTGCTTTGGTCCCACTGATTTGTATCCCCCTGTTCGTACCTTTTGGAATGGTCATGCTTTTCTTATGCCACTAAATGTTGGAGGTGTGTAACTTTTCATTTGTACAGGGGCTCACGGCTAAGAGTTTGCCTTACATCTTAGAGAAGAGATGGAATAAGATTTTTTTTTTTTTTTTTTTTGCTCTGAATGCCTTCAGGGCAGGTTTGGCTTGCTGGAGTTGTGGGGATCGAACCACAGCAACCTGAGCCTGACTGCATTGTTGAAGCAGATACTTAAAGAACTGAGCTAAGGGGCAGGCCCCCTTGGAGAAGACATGGGACTTCACTTTTTTAGCAATGCTGAAACTATTAGGACCTTGGTAACTCTTAGAGATGCACTAAATGCCTTTTGTATAAAGCAATGTGCGCCAGTTTGGGGGGAGTTCAGGGACAGAATGTTATGATTTTAATATAATATAATGTTGATAGACTCAATAGTGATTCTTAAGATAGTTAAAGCTATGTTATAATGTTCAAGTTGTAAAATGTTAAGAATAGCGTGTCGGGCCAGGGAGATGGCTCAGTAAAATAAGCGCTTCGCTGACAAGTACAAGGACCTGAGTAAAATCCCCAGTTTAAAAAAAAAAAAAAAAGAATAAGCATGTCTTTATATCTAGAAATTGGTTCAAAGAAATGTGTTTGGTTGCCAAGTTGACAAGGGATGGATTGTACTGGTTGTTACATTGTGTCAACTTGAGAAGTTCAGAAGCTTAATTAAGTGACTCCCAGGGAGTCAGGGTTCTTGCTTTGTAAACATCCTCATCCTGTGCAAGAGGAGGGTATGCACATTGTGTGGGTTCAGCACCCCCAACCCAGGGCAGCCTGCTTATAATATAAGGAAAGGAGAGAGGCTTGCTAGCCTCAGCCACAGCTCTGCCCCTCCCTTTGTTCTTTGCTGTTTTCCGCTGCCAGGAAGGGTTGTTCTCTGCCACGTGCTACTCTACCTTGGAGCCAGCTGAGTATGGACTCAACTAACTGTGAGCTAAATAAACCTTTCCTTCCTTAATTTTAGATGTTTGACATTTTCTCCAGCAACAAATGAAAAGTAACCAAGACAGCATCCAAAAGAAAAAATGTGATAACTTAGAGAAAGTACTCATAAGAGCAAATGCTTTAATAGTTCTGTGTTAGGTAGTTTACACGTATGAAATACGCAATCCCCACATTTCTACGAAAGTCAAGAGTACCACTGACCATGCTTTGCAGTTGTGGAGACTAAGCAGACAAGTTAGTCAACGCGCAGCCATCCAGCTAACCAAGTGGCTCAGCAGACCTGACCCAGGTCCCTGAGGCTTCCCACCCAAAGCCCCACTATGCTGCCTCTTACGCTCCATTCTTCCATATCTCCAGCTTAGACAACATGACAGATTGTTTATACAAATGCTCCCCAAAATTCAAATACTATAAACCCATGAAAAATACAAAAAACTGCCATAAAGCTCAATTCTGAGTCTTATAAACATTTATACCATATATTCCAATAAACATTATGTGTTTAAACGTAGCCACAATTCCCCTGACTAAACACTTAACAACTTTTAATGTCAGGACCAGTAAACTCAAATGCTGCGTTCTTGCCCCTTTCCAGGCAGTTAGAGCTTGAAGAGCTCGTGTTTAGGTCAGTTAATTCATTTTAAGTTGGCCCACATCAGTAAGTCCGACACAACGCAATGACAGAAATGCATCAAGCTTGTGACATCATTGTTCGTGGCCCCTCCTTCACTTTCCTCATTTTGCATGGCCAGAAAGGCCGTAGGGGCAATGCTGGCATGCAGGAGAAGCTACAAAATGAAAAACAACTTTGAAAATTAGTTTTCCATTAGAAAATGGCCATAATTACATAAAAAGCTTTTAAAAAAGCTCTTTTTTTCAGAGTAACTAGGTACATTTTCCCTTATCATACTAAATGTGTTTGGAACTTTATGTCTTATTAAACTCAGAAAACCAAGTGTTGGTGATTGACACAGGTATTAACACTACTAATATTTCATATTACTTTTTCCTTTCAGTAATTAGTTTTCCTTTTCATTAGTCCACATCTGCAGTATACAGTGGTTCCATTCGCTGCGGCTGCTGGTCCCTGGCCACAGCTCACTTTTACTACCCCTTCCTCTCCTCTCCCTGCCTTCATCTCCTGGACCGCTTTCCTTCTACGAAAGTTCCATCTTCCTGTTTCCTATTGTCAAGCTTTTATTTTGTTTTTTATTTATTTATGCATTGAGTGTCTCATATGTGTCTTATTTTTTCTCTTAGTATTTTTTTTTCTTTGCAGTATTGAGGACTGAACTCAGGATCTTGCACTTGCCAAGCAAGCACTTATGTCACTGAGCTATATCCTGGCCTAGAACACTGATTTTAAATACCATTATTAAACATATTTTTAAGGGTTATAATGTTCAAATTCCTATTAGATCACAATTGTGAAAGACATAATTTCAGCATCCGTGACATCCCCTCCTCTAGCGGCCCAGGGCTGCACTATTCAAATCTTCCCATTTCTGATCAACACCATGTTCTTACACTTCCTACTCTTGCTTGGTGTGATTCACGGGAAATTAAAACGCCCCTGCCATCTCTTGTGTCTTAACAGATCGCTTATCACAATGAGATGGTACATGATTCAGCTTAGGTTCTGCTTGTTTCCTGAATTATACTATGAAGTTTTTAATTGTCCTGATAATACGCCAGCATAAACCCTTAAATTCCAATAATCATAGTAAGTATATCCAACAAGTCACCTAATTCTGCCAAGAAAATAAATTCTGTATTAAAATCTTGGAGAGATGAGAGGAGCTCTTCAAATGCAAACTTGAAGGCAGCTTTCAAAGTACTACAACCTGAACATACGGAGTGCCTGACAGGGTGGTGCGGTGCTCTGCGCCAGCCATTGGGGACACAGCAATATTGAAAATAGGAATCTTGGCTCG